GGTGTCTTTGGTTGTGGCTGGAGAAGTCGTGGAAGTTGTGGCTTGAAGCGTTGTGGAAGGCAATTCAGTGGCAGTTGTGGTGTCTTTGGTTGTGGCTGGAGAAGTCGTGGAAGTTGTGGCTTGAAGCGTTGTGGAAGGCAATTCAGTGGCAGTTGTGGTGTCTTTGGTTGTGGCTGGAGAAGTCGTGGAAGTTGTGGCTTGAAGCGTTGTGGAAGGCAATTCAGTGGCAGTTGTGGTGTCTTTGGTTGTGGCTGGAGAAGTCGTGGAAGTTGTGGCTTGAAGCGTTGTGGAAGGCAATTCAGTGGCAGTTGTGGTGTCTTTGGTTGTGGCTGGAGAAGTCGTGGAAGTTGTGGCTTGAAGCGTTGTGGAAGGCAATTCAGTGGCAGTTGTGGTGTCTTTGGTTGTGGCTGGAGAAGTCGTGGAAGTTGTGGCTTGAAGTGTTGTGGAAGGCAATTCAGTGGCAGTTGTGGCTTCTTTGCTTTTGGCTGGAGAAGTCGTGGGAAATATTTCATGGGTTGTGGAAGGAATCTCAAAGACAGTGACGGTATCTTTCTTTGTGGTTGAGGAACATGTGGATGTTGCGGCTTCAGGACTTGTCCTGGCTGAGGTGGAACTCTGAGGGGGGGCAAGGGGGGAGCTTGAGGTTGGGGTTTCGGTGCTCGTGGGGGAGCTGCTGGTCATCAGGATTTGGGTGCTTTTCGCAGGATGGGTCTGAGGAATGGTGGCTGAGGCCTGAGACGTGGTGGGGGCCTCCTGCAGCATGGGGGGCTGAGCTGCAGCCCCAGCTGTGCTTCTCCTTGCTGGGGTGGCAGATGGAGAAGAAGTGGGCACCCGGGTGGCTTTGAAGGTGGCTAAAACGGGTGTGGTTGTTAAACAGACCAGCTGGTCCTTTGACAGTGAGATCACATTCTTGCCAGCCAGGCCTCCTGGGCTCCTGCAGGTTAACTTTTTGGCATCCTTGATTCTTTTGGCATTAGCGCTTATCCACTGGTGAAGGTAGAGAAGGTGGCAGTCACACCTCCACGGATTGTCTCCAAGATGCAGGGAAGTGAGTTTTCCCAGGTGGTCAAACTGACCGGTGGGGATGGCCTGCAGGAGGTTTCCTTGGAGCTTAAGAGTCGTCAGGGCGGGGAGAGAAGTCAAATGCTCCAGGGAGGAGATCTTGTTCCTGCTCAAGTCCAGCTCCTTCAGCAGCCGCATGGCCCCCAAGGGCGGGAAAGCTTTCAAGCAGTTGGAAGCCACCCTCAGCTGCTTCACTTTGCTCAGCCCAAGGAAGGTCTCCTCTGGGAGAACTTCAATCGAGTTCTTGTCCAGAAAAATCTTCTCCAGGTTGACCAGCCGTCTTAGCAAGTTGGGCGGGAGAGCCTGGAGCCTGTTGCTCTCAAGATTCAGCTCCACCAGCTCCTGCAGGCTGTCCAGGGTCCCCTCCGCCAGGCTCCCAATCTGGTTATCCTGCAATCGGAGAGTCTTCAACTGGCTCAGTTGCTGGAAAACATCCCGTGAGAAATTGGAGAGCTGGTTTGACGCCAAATGTAACAAGGAGAGTTTAGGGAGCCCGTCAAAAACTCCATCGGGGAGAGACGCAATTTCATTCCGATGCAGGTAAAGCTCTTCCAAATCCCCAAGACCCTCAAAGAGCCCCTTCTCAACCCTCCTCATCTGGGAGTCCCTCAGGTTCACCTTGCGCAGGCGATCCAGGGACCGGAAGGTGCCCACCGGGAGATCCCCTAACTCAGCTCCCGTTATTTCCAAATCCGTCAATTTCCCCAAGTGATCAAAAGCTCCCACTTCGACTCTCTTAATCTTGCTGTTTATAAATTCAATTTTCACTAGGTTAGACATGTTCGCAAAGGCTCCCTGCCTGATTTCTACAATGCTGGTCTCCACAAAGAACATTTCGGTGATAATGGGAGCTACTGACTTGGGGATCTCTGTGATATCTCGGGTCTTGGTGTAGACATCTTGATAGGGGCAGCTCCCGTTCGGAATGCCACTGCAACTCTGCTGGTTCCCTTGGCTGGTCTGGAGGAAGAGGAGGAGGAGGAGGATGGTGGCCCTGAGCCACATGCTGGAAGAGACCAACAGCCCTGAGCCTTTTTCAAAGTATTCCCTGTGCCCACCAACCTTCCCTGCACTGCAGCGTCCTAATTTCTAGGACCCCTTGAATCAATTCTTCGACCCTTCTGACAGGTTCTCAACCTGCTGTTTTAATTCTTGCAAGTCATTGGTCAATGGATTTATACCTGTGGGAACACCGCAGGGCTCCCCCCCCCTCACTTGCTCTCTGCTGCTGCAGTCACAGCCAGACCAAAAGGGAGCATTTTGGCCCTGCAAAGGGAACACCGACTGCCCACCCTTCCCTCCAGGGCCTCCCCGCAGGTCTCTGATGTGGCGGCTAAGAGGACGCACCTGTTGGCTGAGCAGCCCCCCGGAAATCCTTCCTGGCCAGGGCAGCAGGAGGTCTTGAGAAGGCGCCACTCACCTCCCCGGAGAATCTTCCCCTGATCCAGATGGGCCTCTGAGGGATAGGTGGCCCTTATCTCCCTTATCTTATGTCCCAGAAGGGTGGAGGAGATCTGCATGTAACCCAAGGCACCTTTTGCTCTCTGCTTTGGTCTGATAAGCTGCGAGAGGCGCTTGGCAGCCCCAGGAGTCACCGCTGGTGGCTCTGTTCTCTTCCCCCCCGAGGGCACATTGGGGCTCAGCTGCCCCTCCCTTGGCAGGAGGAGTGCCCTTCGCTTGGCACCCACGCTCCACAGTGTGGAGACCCCCTGAGATGGCAGGAGCTTTGGTGCTGCCAAAGCTGAGCAGAAGGGAGAGAGACACCCCCTAGTCAAGGGTGCCCCCATCTTCCCAGAAGCAGGGCCAGCACCCTGACACATTCCCTGCACTCGTGTCTATAGAGGCTCTTTATCATCCAGGTCGTCCCGGAGGTGCTTTTGTCAAGAGGCAACTGGACTTTTTTCTTTGAAGATGTTTCGCTTCTCCTCCCAGAAGCTTCTTCAGCTCTGACTGGATGGTGGGGGATGGAAGGATTTATACTCCTTGAAGACAGCTGGCCGCTTGGGTTCTTTTAGAGCGTCAAACTCAGTTTCATTGAGGGCCAAATCAGGATTGGGTTTGACCCTGGAGGGCTGGGGGTGGCCACGGTGGGCATGACACGGGACTGCACCTCTACAGACATGGCTTTATAAACGTATAAAAATAGAGAGGCATATATTTGTGATTTTTTTTTAATACTTACTTGCTCTGCTTGATTCACCTTATGAGAGAGAGAGGCCAGATCAAGAAACTGACTCCACAGGAAGATCAGAATGATACACATTGTTGACATGGGTGAAAATAGCAGAATCCCACAAGCATGAAATGTAAAATATTTTACTTTTCCTCCCTTTTGAGTCAAAGACTCCTGGACCACTGCGGAGGCTGAAAGTGGTTTGGGGGGGGTGCTCGAGCCCCACCCGTGCCCCATTTTTGCTAGCAGAGGCCCTGCAAGGGGCTCCTTTGCTGTTCCCAGACTGGCCCTCAGAACCCCATGGGGCCAAACTGGGGAGAGCGGCTTTGGGGGGAATCAGGGACCAGGACTAGTTTATGGGAAAGGCCAATCCCCCCCTGCCCAAGGGACACAATGGTCAGTGCGAGGGAGGCCAGGCCTCTCTGCACCCACCACCTTTTGGAAGCCCCCTGGGGGGGGAGGAAGAGATGCGGATTTTTGGAGGGTGGGATAGGTAATAATTGACTGATTTTATTGGTTTAAGCAAAACATGTTACATGTACCGTGGTTGGATAAAACACCGGATTGGGTTTAATTCAGCCCCTGCGAAAAGTACCCAACAATCACACAGATATCAAAGTCCTCAAACATCACAGCAACCATCATAGCAACGAAATCTGCAGAAAGAAAAGTAAATGGGATGGGAGGAGGGGGAGGGGAAAGAAAGGAGGGGGGAGGGAAAGGACTAGGAGGAAACAAGGGAAGCCTAGCTAGAATCTTCAGAGCCCCCCCAAAAGGAATGAGGCGCGCGGGGGTGGTGGCATCTGCTGTGGCCGAAAGGGAAAACGGGAACCTCGAGGTGCTTCTCCAGCAGCCTCCACCGATGAGGCAGGGAGGAGAATCCAGCGGTCTGCTCTGTGCAGGGAGCCCCGGGGACCGGAGCCGGGAGCGGGACAGGGGCGAGGCTACCTCTGTAGCAGGAGCTGCTCCAGGATGGGATCCTCCCGGGAGAGCAACCTCAGCGCTTCCGGGCGGCTCCCTGGCTTGGATCTTGCAGCACTTGGAACGGGCGCTGCCTGAACTGCGCCTACCGCTCCGCAGCTCCCTGCCCCTCCTTGTCAAGCTCAGAGGGGGGGGGCGCTGTCGGAGTGGATCCTGCTGTCCAGTAGAAGACCACCAGGCGGGGCTATAGCTCCCCAACCCCGTCCTCCTCCTGGCCCTCCTTTGCCGGGTGGGGGGTGGTGCAGGGAGGTCTGCCCTGAATGGTGCCCGTCGGCCTCTAAGCAACCCAGTCCAGGCCGCCTGTCTCTCTGGTGGGAGTCGGAGCTTCCCCTGGGCAGCGGGCACTGCCAGGCTGGCAGGGGCAAAGGAGCTGTTCCTCCCTGGCAGCTAGGAGAGCCCTGCCCTCCAAGGGGGCGGGGGCCCGGCAGAAGACGCGGGCGCCAAGCGGGTGGTCCATATCGCTCAGCCAGTCGGCCAGGGGGGCCAGGCGGCAGTCGCAGCGCCAGGGGTTGCCCTCCAGCGCCAGGCTGGCCAGGGCCTCGTTGGCGTCGAAGAGCCCCTCGGGCAGGCTCTCCAACCGGTTGTGGGCCAGGTCCAGGGCCTCCAGGCTGCTGAGGTTGGCGAAGGCCGCCGCGGGGAGGACGGCGAGGCAGTTGTGGCTCAGCTGCAGCCGTCCCAGCCCGTCCAGGCCCCGGAACGTCCCGGCAGCCACGCGGTCCAGCCGGTTGTGGGCGAGGCTGAGGACTGAGAGCTCGGGGAGGTCGCCGAAGAGCCCGTCGGGCAGCTCCCGCAGGCGGTTGTGGGCCAGGGAGAGGTCCACCAGGCGGGGCGTCCCCCGGAAGAGCCCCGCGGGCAGCGCCGCCAGCCGGTTGCCCTGCAGCTGCAGAAAAGCCAGGCTGGGCAGCCCCGCCAAGAGGCCGGGGGGCTCCAGGCGGCTCAGGGCGTTGTGCTGCAGGTGCAGCCGCCGCAGCCGGCCCAGCCCCGCGAAGAGCCCCCGGGGCAGCTCGGCCAGCCGGTTCCCGTCCAGGAAGAGCTCCCGCAGCGCCGCCAGGGGACGGAAGAGCCGCGGCGGGAGGCGCGTCAGGAGGTTGTCGCTCAGGCGGAGCTCGCGCAGGCGCAGCAGCGGCTGGAAGGTCTCGGCGGGCAGCTCGGTCAGCTGGTTCTGGGCCAGCGAGAGCGACTGCAGGCCGGCCAGCGGCTGGAAGAGCCCCGCGGGCAGCGCCGCCAGCCGGTTGCCCTGCAGCTGCAGCGCCCGGAGCGCCGGCGTGCCGTCGAAGAGCCCCTCTTCCAGGGCTTCCAGCCGGCTGAAGCGGACGGCCAGCTTGCTCAGGCAGCCCAAGCCCAGCAGGGCCCCGCGGGGGAGGCCGGCCAGCTCGGCCAGGGCGACGTCCAGCTCGCGCAGCCTCGGCAGCCCCGCCAGGGCGCAGCCCGGGAGCGTCCGGAGCGGGCAGTCCAGGAAGGAGAGCTGGCGCAGGGCGCTGCCGTTGCTGCCGTTGCTGCGCGGAACGAAGGCGCGGCAGGGCAGGGAGTTCAGCGAGGCGCCCAAGAAGAGCAGCCGGGTGGCCTCGGGGGGCAGCTCCTCCGGGACGCCCGAAACGTTTCGGCCCGAGCAGAAGACGGTGGCGCCGCCGAAGCACCGGCACGGAGACAGGCGGGCGCAGGCGGCGCTCGCCGGCGGGGCCAGCACCAAGGCCAGCAGCAGCAGCAGGAGGAGGCCGGGCCGGGGGCACATCGTTTGGGCCTGCGGAGGAAAGGCAGAAGCGCCGCCGTCAGACGGGTGGGAGTGGGCGAGGGCTCTGGAAGAAGCCTCTGCCCTCGCTCTTCCCCAGCCTTGGCGGTCTCGAGATAGGCCACCCAGCTCCCCGGGACCCAGCCGAGAAAGAAACCCTCCCTTAGCAGCCCAGGGGCGGGGAGTAAGGATTCACAGGGGCAGAGAGATCGCCTCCCCCCCCCCCCGATGGACTCCATCTATCACTCACCCGCGGGACCCTCGGGGTTTTTGCAGGAATCCCAAAGTCATCCAAACACCCACAGCCCAGCGAAACCCGGAAGCACACAAAAACCGGAAATGAAAATCCCCAAACCACTCTTCCATGGGTTAGAAACCAGGAGATGGTGAGTTCTAGGTCGTCCCTTGGCATAGAAGCCAACTGGGTGACTTGGGGCCAGTCCCTATCTCAGCCCGACCCACCTCACAGGGCTGTTGTTGCAGAAAAAATGAAAGCGTGAGGAGGGGGGGCGGAATTAGGCTTGTTTTCCCCTCTGAATTACATAGAAAAATGACAGAATAAAACATCGTAATGTTGCTGCCACCACCACTCTCGGCAAGCCTTGAGAAGGGCCTGGGATGATGTGGCAGGGAGGGAGGGCCACCGCCTCAGCCAGCCTGACCCATTGGTGAGCTTTCAATATGTTGCTTATCAAAGAGGAGGCAAGCAGGGGGCTGCCCGTCGATTCTGCTCCCCTCCTCCCCTCCCCCCAGGACAAAGGGACCTCTAGGCGAGGTTCACTGTCCACTGCGGTGGAGATCCAGCCAATCAGCTGGACAGCCTTGGGAGGAGAGGTGTCCCCAGGCTCAGCAGGAGAGGACAAAGGGGTTGGGCCCATTCTGGGCAAAGGGCACCAGCCAACTGGTGCCAGTTTAGAGGAGGTCTACCAAGACGAAGAGAGAGCCACAGGCTGAGCCCCGGACGTGTCTAGGAATGCTCAGCCCACCCAAGGTTGGGGGGGGGTAGAGGCGATCCCACCCTGAAGGGAATGGACGGACTCCCGGGGGGCTGCAAAGGGCAGAGCCAGACCTGGTGGGTCAAAGCGCCCAGGAGGGAGCTCGGAAGTTCCCTGACTCTTCCGGTGGAACAGGCTTCCTCAGGAGAAGGTTCTCTGCTGGAGGACTTCGGGGCTGGAGAGCCCCTGGGGATCATGAACAGAACTAGTAGTTGGTCTAGATGGCCTTTAAAGTCCCCTCCAACTCCATGATGTTTATTTATTTAGGCACTTCCTGAAACGGATTCATTTATTAAGCCCTTGATCTAAAGTTGCCTTCTTCCAGACTTCCGGGGGTTCAGGAGGCCTCCGTTGTAATGGCATCCTTTGGTTGGTTCTCCAGGGAGCAGAGAGGAAGCCAAGGATGCCCCCCTCACCCTTCCCAGTATGCAGACAGGCACCCCTGGCCCAGGCGGGATTTTCCCTGGAGGCAGATGGGCTTTGGGGCTGGATCCCATACAGAGGACTTGGGGTGGTGGGGAATGACGGGGGCGACTGGAAGTTGCACTGAATGCCGCACAAGGAGCAGCAGTCTGTTCCCCCTCCCCCCTCCACGCGGGACAGCGATGCACAAGGATTGCGGCTGAAGGGCCCAACGGAGACCAGCTTGGAAGGGGGTGGGCTCTTTCTGCTTTGCCAATGCTACATATTGGGAGCTTTCAGATACGTCCCTGCGTTTCCCTATCTCAGAATTCTGGGATTGCCAATCCTCAGCAGTGGGAGTGAGAAATATCATCACTCCCCAGACCAGCATGGCAAGTGGACCCCCCCCCTCAATCCACAGCCCAGGACCTGCTCCCCAGATGCTCACTTACCTTCTGCGTGGCCAGTTGCCCAAGGAAACCCCCACCCTGTGTCCCCAGCCTCCACCAGCAGCCTCGGTCAACAGGGCGGCCGAGTCAGTGACCCACTGGGCAGAGGCATCTGCAGGACTTTGCTTTCAGAGATTGGGGCAAAGGCTGGCAGCCTTGGGAGGGGAGCAGGTCGGGCACTGGCCTCTCAATCAACAGCTGCAGCAGCAAGGGACCCTCCCCTTGGGGGAGGGAGGGGGAGAGGCTTTGAGGCCTGGCCTCTAATCGCACCTGAGCACTTTGGGGGCAGCTGCATGGCCTTTGGGCAGCCCTCACTGGAGAGAAGCCCCCCCCCATTCACCAGGCACCTGAAAAGCCCCAGCAGGTGCTTTCCCAGATCCTTCAGTCCCCAAGCGCTTGGGAGCCCCAGAGGGGCAGGTGGCTAGACCCCGGAGCCCAGGAAAGGAGCAGGATGACCTCCTGCTGAGGGCAACCCACTTCCCAGTCTCCTGCCTGGCCTGGTTCTTGGGGGGGGGGCAGTGCTCTGGCTGGCTGTGTTCATACAACCGGGTCATGTCAAGAGCAAGCACAGGCCCTGATAGGTGAGCTCGGCACAGAAGAGTCTTCCTGTAGCTTTGCATACCTGCATTTGATTTTGTCAACCAAGTGGAGTCAGGTTAAACATGTTATGTGAATACCATTATGCCTGCAGAACCCTGTCAATCAAGGATTGCCCACCTTCCTATGGAAGGGAGGAGGAGGAGTGGTCTTTCGCCACCTTCACCCCATCTATGACCCCCCCCCATGCCTGGGCTTCAGGCCCCTGGCTGGCTGCCTTTCCCTGATCCCCAGGGGCCTGGGGGGTGGGCAGGCATCCTAGTAGCCTTTGGGGAGAGGGGGGTGGGGGGTTATCCTTCTGCTTCAGAAGCCGGGAAAGCCTCTTCGCTTACCTGGCCAGACAGAACCCGGGGCAAGAAAGGAGAAAAGGAATGGGGGAGGGAGGGGGTCTTTTGGTGGGCGTAGGAGTTTCCATGTTTTGTTTCTTGCGGGAAGAGTGGCAAAAGGGGGGAGGGGGAGGGGGCCTTCTGCAGGGGAGCCTAAAGCAGCTTAGAAGTAACTGACCCTCCCTCCTTCCTCCCCTTTCAACTCGCCTCTTTATCTCCTGGGGTCTGTGGGTGGTTCTGATGTTCACCCCAGTCCCGCTTCCCTCTGTCGCTTCCTGCTTTACAGAGGAAAGAGTTCCTTCTGCCGCTGGCAGCACAGGAAACACCCGCACCGCTTCTTCCCGGCTTTGGAACTCTGGCCTGCCTGCACGGGGCTCTGCCCTTCCTGGAACTGCTGTGGCCCCTCAGCCTCAGGGATGGAGGGCAGCCCCAGAGCCCCCCCCCCGTGACAGAGGGCGCGTGGACTCTCCCAGGCACTCTTCCGCTGTAGAGGCCCCTCCCTCGCTCTGCCCAGTGGCCCTTCTGACTGGGCGGGGCTAGCCGTGCTGTGTATGGGGGGGGGGCTGTTCTTCATAGGAAAAAGAGCTGCTGCTGGGGATCCACTTGATCTAGTTTGCATGATGTGTGAACCAGGTGAAGCTGCAGCCAAGATTGATTTTGGGGGGTGGGCACAGACCAAGACCTTGAATGTAAAGCCGAACTCGCAGCAAGGCTTGGCAGCCATGGGGAGGGGGGGTTGGGGGCATAAGTGCATCTCCTGGCATTGACCATGGATAACGAGTTCAAGCTGACCCGGGGGGGGGGAGAGGGGAAATGGGGGTGCTTGCTATCTGGAACCCCACCGCTCCACCCATCCCGCAGCCCCACTTGATGCTGTGCTGACCCCCCTCCCTCTGCGCCCTTCCGTCCCGCTCCCATCCCCCACCGGGGCTCAGGGGAAGGGACCGTTTTTAACACGCTGGGCCAGCCCGGGGGAGGCAAGGCAGAAAACGGGGGGCATGAGATGAAGCGAGAAGAGCAGCTTTAATAGGCCCGGCGGCCACTGGTCCACAGCCCCGTCCAGGAGGCTCCTCTGCTCCCTCCCAGAGCTGCCCCGCCCCACCCGCCCCAACCCTCCTCCTCTGCCGCCGAGGCGCTACCGTCGTTGCGGGGAACTCTTCGCCGACCGAACCGCCTGGCTGGGCCGCCGGAGGAGGTGCGCGCCGCCCTTCTCTGCCTCTCCTGGCTCACTGGCGGAGTCTCTGCCCGATTCCCTGCTCCCCAGAAATGCCAAACGCCCCGGAGCCGGCCCTGTCCACCGCAACAGCGCCCGGGCTCCTCTCCGTCCACGGCTCCTGGGAAACCGGCCTGCATTCCGCAACGTCCAAGCGCAGCCCGGTCCCCTTCAGCTGGATGCCTGGAGCGCCGTCCTCGGCTGAGAGGCAGCGGGAGAGCCTCGGGCCTTTCTCACCCAGGGCGAGACCGCTCATTGCCAGGCCAGCGCGCGGCTTCTCCTGTTCCCATCTGGGCGGCCACGGGGCTGCCGGAGTCGGGGGTGCGCGTGTCTTCCTCCCTAGATGGAATCTGCCGACCTTCTGTGCGCCTCTATGGGAAACGTACGAGTGGCGCCACCCCCGGGGCACTCCAGCCCGCCCCAGAAGCCCTTCGCCGGCCTTGGGTGTGTGGCGACCCGCGTAGGTTCCGACCGCTTGGGACCGACGGTTCAGGAGCCGAGCGCCTTTTTGGACAGGGAGTGGGGCTTGCATGGGGGTCCCGTCCCTTCGAACAGCCCAGACTTGCGGCCTGCGTGAGGAAAGTGCGGCCCGGATTGGCGCCTCTTCCTAAGTGCCCCAAACTGTCCCGACCTCCCAGTGCTGGTTCCGGCCATCGCCCGGCCTTCCTAGCCGTCCCGCTGCGAATCCGGGCCTGGGCGTCCCTCGATTGAAAGGCGCGCAATCTGCCTCAAAGGAGGGCCGAGCGAAGGAGCGCCAGCGTCCGTCTGGGCACAGATCCTCGGGGCAAAAGTCGGCTAGTAGCGGCGAGAGCTGTGGGGCGCCGGTCTGCTGCTGAGCCCGTGCCGGGGCCGACGTGGTGGAGCGGGTGAAGGCGTGAGTGCTGGAAGAAAGGGCGCGACCGGGCCAGCCCCGTAGCGGACCTAGGGTTTGGCCGGGACGGAGCGCTTCCGCCTGGAGCCGTAGACGCCCGCTGCCAGCACCGTCCCCAGGAGCAAGGCGGAGCCCACCACGAGGCAGGTGACAACGACCCCCGTCTGGGTGCGGGTCAGGCCCCAAATCCCGCCTCCCCCTCGCCCCGCTACGGGGAGCTCCCCCGGGAACTCGCGCGCGATCTCTGCGCTGCCAGGCTCGATATCCAGCGGCGGCTGCCAGCGTCCAGGCGACAGCGTCTCCGGCGTCGGCTCGCTCTCCGAAGGGGCCTCCGTGCGGCTCCAGACGGTTCCCCAGCCCTCCAGCGGTGCGGAGCTCCCAGGACCGAAGGTTGTGGCCTCCGGCTCCAGCAGGGAGCGGCCCAGCTGCCAAGGCGGGGCGGCGCAGCGGGGGTGGTGGCTTTCTCTGCCGCGGCTGGACCTGTTCTCCTGCAGCCAGCGCCGAAGCCACCGCGTGGCAGCGTCACAACGCCAGGGGTTGTCGTGCAGTTGGAGGTCGCGCAGCTCCGGCAGCCCATCGAAAATGCCCACCGGAAGCTCCTCCAATGAGTTGTTCTGCAGCTGAAGGGCGCGCAGGCCGGGGGTCCCCTGGAAGAGCCGCGCGGGCAGGGCGGCCAGCCGGTTGCTGTGCAAGGAGAGGTTCCGCAGCGAGGTCTGGTCGCGCAAGAGCGCCTCGTCCAGCGTGACCAGCCGGTTGGAGTGCAGGTGAAGCTCCTCGAGGGCCTCCAGACCGGCAAAGGCGGCGGGCGCGAGAGAAACGAGGCGGTTCCTGCTCAGGACGAGGACCTGCAGCGTGGTGAGGTTGGCCAGGGCGTGGCCGGGCAGCGAGGCCAGCTGGTTGTCGGCCAGCCGGAGTTCTCGCAGAAGCGGCATAGGACCGAAGGTGCCCGGACGCAGCTCGCGCAGGGCGTTTCCGAAGAGCGAGAGCCTCGAGACCTCGGGCAGGCCCAACAGTAGCCCCTCGGGCAGCGTCTCCAGGAGGTTGCCGGACAGCAGCAGCTTCTGCAGCCTGCGCGGGCCGGCGAAGAGGCCGACGGGGAGCTGGCGCAGCCGGTTCTGATAGAGGGCCAGTTCCTGCAGCTCGGCCAGGCCGCCGAAGGCCCGGGGCGCCAGCTCACTCAGCTGGTTCTCATAGAGGCGAAGCACCTGCAGGCGCGCCAGCGGCGTGAAGAGGCGGGGCGGCAGGCGCACCAGCTGGTTGCGGGCCAGGTTGAGGCGGGCCAGGCTGGGCAGCTGGTCGAAGGCGCCCGGGGGCAGCCCCTGCAGGCGATTCCCGTGCAGCTGCAGCTCCTTGAGCGCACTCAGCCCGGCGAAGTGGGCCGGCTGGATGCGGCGCAGCTGGTTCCCCGACAGCAGCAGGGCCTCCAGCCGGGCCAACGGCCGGAAGACGTCGGGCGGCAGCTCCTGCAGCCGGTTGCTGGCCAGGCTCAGGTAGCGCAGCGCCGCCAGGCCCTGGAAGGCGCGGGGACTGAGGCGCTCCAGCAGGTTCTTCTCTATCCGCAGGGCGAGCAGCTGGGAGGCATTGCTGAAGGCCGCGGGGCCCAGAGCAGCCAGGTGCGTGTTGGTGACCTGCAGGCTCATGGCCTTGGCGGGCAGCGGTGTGGGCATCTCCGTGACCTCAGCGCCCGAGCACTCCACCTGGGCCGTCCTGGAGCAGGAGCACCCGAGGGGGCAGCCGCCGCCCGCCAGGACCGACGGCAGGAAGCTCAGGAGCAGGACGGAGCGGAGCGTCATGTTGCCTGCGGAGAAAGAGAGACTGGTGTGAGACCCTGGACTGTCCCACGCGGAGCAGCGAGTACCCTCTTGTCTCACGCCCTGGAGCCGCCCTGGGTGCTGGGGCCTCTGGCGGGGCAGTTCCGCCCCTCCCCATGCTGCTAAATGGTAGCCAAATTGCAGGGAGGGGGTTTTCTGCGTGGCTCTGCTGCGCCCCTTCCCCCCATCCTAGCCCAGGTTCTGAGCACTCGGCCTCCAAGGGCTCCGCCTGTCTCTATATCCCCACCCCCTCTCTGCCCCTCACCATGGAAGGCTCTGCATTAGTCCGGCCGCCTGAGGGAGTGGATTTCAGCCCAGCGAGGTTGGTTTGTGGAACACAGCTTGGTTGGTTAAGCCTTTCCTTAGCCCTGGCTTGGGGGGGAGGGGAGGGGAGGGGCCGAGATCTACTAAGGGCAGCAAGGGGAGAAGACCCACCACCCTCTGTCAACGAAAGTCGAATGGCTCAAAAGTAGAGACGTGGCAAACAAGAGCCAGTCTCGGAGAGGGATGGAAGACCGCTGATACTTCCATCTTTTGGGCCCGGAATGAGAGGGCGGAACCACAGGGAACATCCATGGCTTGGAAGAGCCACGCTCGGTGGCAGACCAGGGCAAAACGTGCTCACGTGGGCAGCGATTGCGCAAACCCGAGGAACTGCCTATCAGTAGAACCCAGCTGGAAAGCTGCTCGCTTGGCTTCGAGGTCCGAGTGCTGCCTGACGGGGTGTGGACCCCCGTTCTTGCCCAGTTCCAGCCTTCCTGACATGCAAATGCGAATAAATGGGGACCACTTCGGTGGGAAGGGAACAGAGTCCCGTGCACCTCGATGTATCATCGTGCTGGCCACATGACCACGGGACAACGGGGGCTCCCTTGGGCAAGAAACGGAGATGAGCAGCGCCCCCTGGAGTCAGATACGACTGGACAAGGGGAACTTCCATCTTTACAGCGGAATGGGGGCCGTTAGAAAATCAGATTGCCCGATTTACTCCGGACACAAACCGGAGGGGACAGTTAGAGGGCAGGGTCAAGATTGAGACGGAACCAGACGACCTGGAACCACAAGTAGAAATCGGCAAGAGGAATTTCAGCAAAGGCAACGGAGAAGTCTCACGGACCAACCCTGCCCTCTGCTGACGGGAGGGGCTCCTGAGCTTTGGGCAAGGGACGGGGCCCCCTTTCCTCTCCGGGAGACGGCCAAGCTCTGCCTGCCCCCTTGACCGAAACTTCTCCGAACCTCTGCTCGGACAGCAACGGTCCTTGTCTTATGATGCGCGGGTCTAGCAGGAGAATCTGGGCGAAGAGACCGCAGCTGGTCTCTGGCGGGACTCCTTAGGGATGGCTGCCTCCTCCCGGAGCGCAGAACAAGAGAGGGGGCGGCGGAGACGGAAGGCCTGGCCATGCCCACCTTCCCAGTCTGGCTGTCCTTTCCAACGCGCCTTCCCCGCCAGCCCATAATCGCCTTCCGCTGGAAACGCTGAGCGAAGCTTTTGCGGTCACCATAATTACAGCCCATCAGGCCGATTTTGGACTAGCCAGCCTGTAGTGCGGGGAGGGAGAGGGCAAGCGGACGGGGGAGGCATCGGAGCAGTCCTCCCCCCCAGACACACACCCGGGACCGCATTCACGACGCGTGAGGTCATGGGAACTGCTGAGCGCAGAGCTAACCCGCAAAAGCGGCCGCCCCCGGGGCGTCGTGTGCTTCAAACGCTCGGCTCGCGATGTCCGGGTGGCCCGAGAGGGGGGGCTACCCCGCCTGGACCCTCGCACCGCTCCGTCCCGTTCGCCCGCGATGCTGTCGCTGCCCTTCGGCTGCATCCGCAGGAACCGTTCTATCTGATTCCTGAATTCGCGCTCTTTCTCTCTCTCGTAGTTTGATCGATTCGGGTTAAACACCTTGATCCCGAATCGATCAAACTACGTTTCACACAGTAGACATCCAAGTGAAGACTCCCCACACTTACCTGTTGTGCGAACCGAGTTGCGAAGCCTGTCTGAGGTCAGGAGCGCTGTGCGAACACGGCCAGCGCGTCTCTCTGAACACGCGGAGTCCTTTCCCTGACCAACCAACCCCGCCATCCCATCGCCCGCTGTGCGCGCGGAATCGAGTCGCGGGGAGAAAGCCCCGTCTGGGAACTACTCCGCGGGAAGCAGACGTCGGCCGAACGGCAGAAGGGCCTCAGGCACTCAGCTACCCGGGCCGCAGAGGCCGCCGCCGGAGGTTGCTTGTGCTCTCGGCCAGGGCATCTCCAGCAGGCCCTTCCTCTCCCGGAGAGCTACGAGGGAGTGGCGTCCAGGTCGCCCACCCACCCACCCCGCCCGCGCTCTCGAGAGCATCCCTCTGGGAAGAATCCCGAGCTGCTCCCCCTACCCCACCCCCCGGCCCGCAAGCTTTGGACGTGCGCGAGTCCTCCACGCCAGAACTTTCCCTGCGGCGGCAGCTGGGCCAGATCAGCCCCCCGCCGGTTCCCCGAGGAAGGAATCTGGCCGCGCCGCAGCCTCGCCTCGGCCATATGGAAGCAGTTGGCGGTGCAGGACGGGCTTGTCTCCGAGTCCCGCCCTCTTCGGCACTCCAGGAGCGCTTCGGGGCGGGGGTCTCGTTTGCAGAAAGAATTTAGCATCCCCTCCCTCCCACGCCCACCCCCGCGCCCAGCAACCCGGAGAGAGGGGGTTCCGATCACTTTTGTTCTCTTTGTTTGAAGCGCTTTCTCGGTTTGGCGTCTGTCTCGCAGTCTAACGGTTCGGTTCCCCACGAGCAGCAAAGGGAAAGGCGAAAGGAAGAATTCCCCCACCCACCCACCGCCCCGCCCCGCCCCGCCGCCAGTCCTGGGAACAGGCCGCCGTCGTTGCAGAGGCACCGGGAGGCACTTACCCGAGACCAAGGAAAGGCGACGGCTGCCGGGCTTTGGGTCCGCTGCGACCCTCCGCTTTCCTCCTCCCTGTATTTAAAGCACCAGCGAAGGGAAGCGTCACAGGTTGCTGCAACCGAGCAGGGAGCGGGAGGAGCGAGAAAAGAGACCCGCCCGAGAGGCAGCCTCCCTCCCTCCCTCCTCCCTCCTCCCTCCGTCCTGGGTCTCTTAAAATGCCGACCCGGGACTTGGATTCACACGACCCCGTAGTAAGGAAGGAAGGGAAGCTGCAGCGCTGACTCTCTTGCTCCTCTGTGCACCAGAGTCGGAGGTATTGTAGGCAACCGAGGTGGGGAGAGTCGGTCTGTCTAAAGCCATGGTGTCCTTAGAGGTCATCTAGCCTGATGCTCGGGATTTGCAGGCTCCCCTGTGACCCCCAGGACAGCCTCTGGGCCAGTCCATCTTACTGGCCCATTTTGCTTGTCTGAGCACCCCAGGGAAGTGATGGGGCTGCCTGTGTTTAACAGTTGGGGCTTCAGTAGTTTTGACCTTGGTTTGATTTTATCACTTAATGTGGTGGCCTTTTTCTGGATCTTTGCAAGTGAGCCGCTGAATCCCCCGCTGTGTGTCCTGTGGGAAAAGGACTTCCTTTGGATCTGCCACCCGGGCACCCTTTTGCTGGGGACTCTGCTGAGTGGGCTCCTCCCTGAGAAAGCCATTTCCCAGCTGCCCCCCTCCTTGTCCAGGTGCTCTGCATAAACCATTCCCCAGGAAGAGGAGGGGAGCCTCCAGGCACACCAGTGTCAAAGTGCCCCCCAAGTGGAGCTTCTCCCCCCACCCCATGGAAGGCAGCATCCTCTGGCGTGTCCCATGTCTCACGTGGGGAGGAGGCTGGTGTGTGTGTGGGGGGTGTCCTGTAGGGGAAAAGGTGGCACTGGAAAGGGGAGGCTGCGAAGAGGCCCTTCCCTCCTCCTCCTCCCCGAGGAGAGGCTGCAGCAGATGGCTCGGCAGTGTCAGCGTTTCATCCGGGCAGCTCCTCCAGGCCTCCCAAAAGGAGTCCACAGGCAGCTTCCTGACCAAATTCCTGGGATCAGCAGTTCCCGTGTCCGAGTCTGCGGGAGAGTTGGGGGAGGATAATAGCATCCCGGGACTCGCTTGGAATCTGGCAGCCCCCCAAGATTCCCCGGTAATGACTTCCAAGCCTGATTCTCCTCCTTGGCAGCCGATAGTTCTCAAAGGGGCCTGCAGTGATCAGCCCCTCTTCAGCCAAATCCGAATCCACACGCAGCCAGTCAAAATCAACACCATAAAGCCAGAGATGAAAGCAGCCTTAACAGGGCAGAAAGGGAACATCAGCAACACGGGATGTCCCCAAAGGCCTCGACACCAAAGAGTTCAGAATTCCTTTAAAGGAGGCAGAGGAGCCCAAAGGCCCAGAGAAGGGAAGGGATTTGGGGTAACTCCCAGGTGGAGCAGGGCCCCCCCCCCACAAGTGATCCTCTTCGTTTCAAAGGGGGGGGGGAGAGCAAAGGAAAAAGCAGATTTTCACCTGCCCCAAATGGCATTTTGGACGCAATCTAGAAGCAACCTTTGTCTTGTGACCATCAACTGCCCAAATCAGCTGGGCTGGTGCTGCGGCCTCCCCAGCAAAACCAGCCGTGTTATTTGAGGGCTGCACTGGGCAACTAGTCGATCTGCATCTGACTGTGCCAGCCTGGCCAGCGCCTGTTGCCCAGTCCTGCTGCAGCAGGGTTTGTGGCTGCCACCCCACAGCCAGGGTTAGCAGTCGGGGCAGGAGCCAGGCAGGGCCGCAGAGCAGAGGGCCTTGGGCTGTCCTTGGAGGCAATGCCCCGCCCTGCTCCATGTAGGCTGGCAGCGGGAGAGCGCCCCTGTGGATGAGCAGGAGCCCCCTGCCTCTCCTCTGCCACACCGGCCAGCGGCTCTCACGGAGGGGCCCCAGGGGCCTCTGCTGGCTGAGACTTCTGCTCTGCCCAAGTGGCAAAGGCCCAGAGGAATAGGAGCAGCTACCCACCCTTTTGGGGGTCCTGCAGGCTCCCCACTGACAGATGGTGCTCAGCAGCCCCCTCCCCTCGATGGGAGCAGCAGCATCCTGGCCCGTGTGTTCCCTGGCAGG